GTTTCAATATAATAGAAATTTAGCTGAATAAGATCCCAATGACTTTTAGATTCACGTTCAATTAAAAATACCACAAAACCATGACCGTTGTGACTGAAACTAAGTGTTTCTCCCAAAACTTAGTAAGAAGAATTTGCCAGAAAAGACAATCTTAAGCATGTAGTCAACACCTTCAATTTGTATTAAAAACATAAATTATTTGATAAAGCACTTTTTTTTAATATTGGCCAGCGGTCCTTTCAGCAGAACATCCAAATTAGAGATTGAAATCATTTCATACAGTGGTGTTGATAATGTTCCCGAGGACGTAGGCCTCTTATCTTGGATTAATTAGCTTTGTGTTCTTGGTAAGCATATAAATGAAACTTAATTGCAGAAAAAGACGATAAACAAGTAAAAGCACAATCACAACCTCCTAACCTCCTTTCACATATCTCCAATGCACAGTAACACGAAAGTGCAATGACTGAACAAGCTAAATATAACTCTCGTTTCACCAAATGGAGAGCCTAGATTGAAATTTCTATAGGTATTGACTGTATAGTTCTTTGATCATTTAGATCCACATTTGTTCATTACAATAACATGTGAATAACTGTTAACTTTTCTTGGTACGAGTATACATGCCTGACAATCATTACAGGTTCCTGTCATCATTTTGCATTATAGAGGTTATATGTTTTACCTTTAAGTTCGTCTGATTTGCCAATATGCATCTCTAGTTTCACTTTTGTATGTCTTTAAGTTTGTCTGATTTGCCAATATGCATCTCTAGTTTCACTTTTGTATGTCTCCATATACTAACATTATCTATCAATTTGTTTTGTGACTCTATGTAGATACTGTTTTAAACTAAATGCATCTTTATCTGTACGAGCTTCCTTTTTATGTGGTTGTGGTTGAACACTACAAAATAATATGAATGGTCATTCTATTCATTCTCATGATCAATATGAGAAAGCACTTAATTATGATCTGCAATTAAATTATTTCTAATTGTGGAACTGCTCAATATTAGAACATCCTAGTGGTCACTGGTCAGGGGAAGTTTCTAATGAAATACAGAGTCCCAGGTGCAAGTAGAATTTGGATCTAATTTATATCATTGACTAAAATGCAGCAAAAAGTAGGGATCCTATTTATTTCCGGACACAATGTATCTTATCTACGGCAACAACCACAGTTCTCGAGTTAGAGAGGCTACAATTATCATCATTAGAAGCCATTTCAAATTCAGTTCCTGCTGACAGATCTTCGAAACCAACAGGAACTGCAGTGCTTGACTTGGAGAAGCTAAAATTACCCTCTTTAGATGTTCATTCCAACTCTATTGCCGCAAACAGACCATGGACGTATATTGGAGCAGTTGGTCCACCCACTGAGGTGAGAATTCAAATATGTACATGCTACCAAAATGAACGCTAGAAAATCATTGCATAGGGCTTGTATTGATATATCAGAATGTTTTCAGCTAATTATCTTGAAGTCTCGTAAAAGGAAAAGGCTATTACATTTTGTTGGTCATGTAAAGAATGGGTAAATAAGTGAGTTTAAATATCTTCTAACTCCTTTTTTTATCGTTCGTAAAGATAGAAGTTTTGTGTGAACTTTAATGTTTCAAATACACCACATTTCAGAAGAAAATTTTAGCGCTTATCTTTCACAATAATCTTCAAAGTGCATCCTGTAGTCCATATTGCAAAAGTATGCTTATTCAATCAACACATCCAATTTCCATACAACCCCCTTTTGATCCCAATCTCGGCTTAAGAAAAGAGAAGAAATATAATAGGTTTTTTGTGGTTTTAAAAAAATCTTGTCACTTGCTTTAGTTATTTGATGCTTTCATCTATCGTAGTTAACTTTAATTCGCATCCAGGCAAATCGTCAAGCAACTTTAGCTACAGAAACTCTTATTACAAGTGAGGAGGCTGTTGTAGCAGCAGCTGCAGCTGAAGCACTTGCTTTAGCAAAGGCAGCAGTCAAGGTTGCAAAAGATGCAGCCATGATGGTCAGTAATCGTACTGCCACGATGTCAGATTGCGAAACTACAGAAATCTTACCTGAAGTGGATAATTTATTGTTGGAGAGGAATCAGCTTGCTCATTTTGCAGAAAGAGTGGATGGCAGACAGTCTAAGGTTTCTGAAGGGTTGGGCAAAAATCATTCAGCTTCTTACCTCCTTACGAAATCTGATGTGGAGCCTAGTCACGAAGAACTCGAACTTCTTGAGGCTCAATTGTCCAGGAGTATAGCTGTGAGATCAAATCGTCAAACAGAGCGAAAAGCCAGGAGAGCTAGAGCAGCAGAGAAGGCAGCTGCTAATGTTGTGTCTGTGAAATCTGGTTCTACGTCCCGGAAAAAACGGGTTTTGCAGGATATAGATTATTCTGACCCATTGCGTTACTTAAGAGGAACTACTAGTAGTTCCAGGCTCCTTACGGCAGCTGAAGAACAGAAGTTGTCAGTAGGAATACAGGTACTTCAAGAAAAAAAATGCTTTATCCTTCTTTTAATTCTCTTTATGTTTACAATACATACCACTTTTAACTTCTCATTGAGCAATACATTGTTCAATCAGTTAACGGGAGACCAAATACAGCATTGAAAACTTTGCAATGGGCCTTTCTATTTTTGTACTAATTCGAGCTTTTCCTTTCTTTCTTTTCCAACCCTGTCCTATTTTTTCTCTTATGCATTTTTATTTTTCACCTTACCTCCAGTGTCAGGGGGTGGGGCTCTTGACAAAAATAAAGAGATAGTTAATTTGGTAAATGATATTTTTGGGTGAATAAAGAATGTGAACTGCATTTGGCTAGCATTTAGTACCATCATTATCAATTTTCCAGATTAATGTGCTGTCAATCAATAATGTGTTGTACTTTTAACTTGCAAAGTTTGGCACCTTACCGTCCTATTCATGTGTGGATTTCCAATTAGTTCTAGACATCTCGTTGGTTGCATCTTTATATCCTGTGAAGTCTGGCACCTGATTATTCTCATTTAGATGTGTATTTTCTTAGTTGTGGTAGCTGGTCTTAATTTCTGCAGTGGAAGAGGACTGAATAAAGGATATTTTAATCAAAAATTAGTTTTCTTTTAGTTCTTTATTGGGGGTCAGGGGCAGCAGTTGAAGTCCATTAATCAAGAGTGCTATTGGGAAGCGACTGGCAATTTATTTAAATGACTAATTTGGGTGTGAATAAAAAATGTGTTCAGCATTTGGCATGAGTTTGTATTCAAAGTTAACAATCAACTTTCTTGTAGTTTTCCCGATGAAGTCGGTGTATCAATAATTTATCTATCTTGATAACTTTTTTTCGAAAATTTTGGCACCTTGCTATTCTTTTTGGACGTGATTTTCTTAGTTATAGCTAGAATCTTAATTTACTTTCCAAATAATAAAAAAAGGAAATGGGTAAATGGCACATTCATCAATTCAAAGCTTTTTTGTTATAACATGGAAACATAATATTTCAGTATTTCTTTTTCCATCTTAGGAAAGTTACAAATTTCAACACTGCTTTGGAGGATTTTTATTGGAAAAATTTTGGTTCCCTGCTTTAAATATGCTTCCGAATGGACGGCTCAATTCCCGTACAACATTCATGTTATAGGGCATAATATTACTTTCTTCAGTACTGGGAGAAACTGTTCTTGTCACTGGCAAATATTAGCCAATGTACACTTCACAAATTCCTGGAGGTTAGAAGTCTTGTGGGTTCTCCTTTCATCCTTCTCCCTCGTGCTGACACTTTACGAATCTTCTTGTCACTAATTTTTTTATCCTCTAATATATACCCATCATGAATGCAGGACCTACTAAAATTGGAAAGGCTCCAGGAGGAACTCACAGAACGTTATGGGGACCAGCTTACTTCTGCTCAATGGGCTGCTGCGGCTGGCGTTGATCAGAAAACCTTGAGGGAGCGTTTAAATTATGGCATTCTTTGCAAAGATAAGATGATAAAGAGCAATATACGTCTTGTTATTTCTATTGCAAAAAATTATCAGGGAGTTGGGATGAACCTTCAAGATTTGGTTCAGGTAATCATTTTCTTTGTTGCTCGTGGTTATCTAACCTAAGGCGTTTCCTGCGATAAAAAATGTAAAATTGTTAGTTTGATGTTTGATTCCTTACTAACACTATATTTTTAACAAATTTTCCTCAGGAAGGATGCCGAGGCCTTGTTAGAGGTGCAGAGAAATTCGATGCTTCAAAAGGGTTTAAATTCTCCACTTATGCTCACTGGTGGATAAAGCAGGCAGTTCGGAAGTCTCTTTCTGACCAATCCAGGACAATTCGATTGCCGGTAAAATTCATTTCTTGCAAGTAGACTTACATATTCCATTTTTCTTGTCCTGCAAAGGAAGATTTTACACAATTATACATTCTTGAAAAAATCACCTGTTGTTCCATTTGGATGTAGTACAATTTAATTTGTGATTTTATCTGCACATACCAGTTTCACATGGTCGAGGCAACTTATAGAGTGAAGGAAGCAAGAAAGCAACTGTTTAATGAAAATGGTAGACAACCTGATAATGAAGAAGTTGCAGAGGCAACTGGGCTCTCAATGAAGAGGCTCAGTGCAGTGATGTTGACTCCTAAAGCTCCAAGATCTCTTGATCAGAAAATTGGGATAAACCAGAATCTCAAACCTTCGGTAAGTCCAAGTTACCTTTTTTACCCACAAGTTCGCGTTCTCTTGCCACCACTTGTTTCCAATCTTACTTCATCTGGTTTGTCAATTTCAGGAAGTCATTGCAGATCCTGAAGCAGAAACATCCGAAGACTTGCTTATCAAGGAATTTATGAAACAGGACTTAGCCAAGGTTCTGGATACACTAAACCCGAGAGAAAAGCAGGTGATTAGATGGAGGTTTGGCCTAGAAGATGGTAGGATGAAGACATTGCAAGAAATTGGGGAGCTTATGGGCGTCAGCCGAGAAAGAATCCGACAAATTGAATCCTGTGCATTCCGTAAATTGAAGAATAAGAAAAGAACGAAACATTTGCAGCAATATGTGATGCCATAACACCTTTCTTGGTTTCAGATCATCTAGTTTCTTATAGAATCAACTTCCTTCTTGAGGCTCATTCATTATCTGGTTGCATTGAGAAATCCGAAAATCCCTCCTTTTTTTTCAGCTATAATATTACATCATGCTGAACTACAAGTAGTTTATGAATTGTACAGTTTTTGTGTTATAGTAATAAAATATTTCTTTGGTTGTATGTGAGAGAACCAATTTCTTATCAATTTGTTGTATCTCAGTTCTTATGCTGTAGAAATTGGGTCTTCAATTGCTCAAGTTGGCTGAACATACCCAACCACATGTTCTTTCGTTAATATGGGTTGATGGGATAAATTCAATATCTAAGAATTGGTTTTGTGATCCATGGAAGTGTTTCCAGTTTTCGCGAATTTCAGGCAACAGACTGGAATTTTAACACGAGAATTTTAAGGTGGTTTTAAAGATGAATGAATGCACCTCCGACTATGGGAGTGCGATGGTTTGGATTTAAAAACATCTTCTTAGAAGCATGTTAGGTTGTTCTTCTGTTACTAAAAATGTAGCTTTTCTCGGGAGCATTACACTGTACTATCGAGAAAATCTTTGCCTCTCTTGTGTGCTTCTAAACTAGGACAAACATGTTAAGCTCGAACACCACTTTAACAATTTACTCCTTGTATGTATATTATCAAAACCAGTGTATACAGGTGCTTGTTTTTGGGAAGTTGAATATTTGATAGTATTATTAAATGGCTTTGGTTACTTGTACAAGTTGTCCAGGTTTCGCAACTCATCAATTAAGAATGCAATCTAGTATCACTGCTATTACAACACTAGTTTAGATGTCATTATGTGATGAATACTGTTATTTATAGTGAAGATTACTGATAGTTGATATTGAATTTAACACTGTAAATATGATGAACAATACTTGTTTATTGTGTGTTCTGATTTACAAATGGATGGATAGATGATCCTTATATGAGAAGATAAGTAACGGTAGCTTATGTCCTATGCTAGTGTTGACCTACTGTACAATACAAAAAATAGGTTGAAAGTTGAGTTGGCAGTCAGAATTTTGCTGCTCCTTTTGACCATAAATGGGCCTGTGATGAGTGACCTTTCTGAGGCCCAATGCCCTACTGATTTGATGCCTTCCAAATATAGCCAATGATGAACTTTAAGGGCTGAGGCTATAATTTTAAATTAGTTTCTTCAACACTCCCCCTCAAGTTGGGTTCAAATAAATTAATTGATCCCAACTTGCCAAGAATGTTAAGGTGACTAACTTTGTCAAGTGCCTTTGTAAAGATGTCCGCCAATTGTTCTTTGCTTCTCACAAATGGGGTTTCTATTTCTCCCGATTGTACTTTTTCTCTGACGAAGTGACAGTCAACTTCGATGTGTTTTGTCCTCTCATGAAAGACTGGATTGGATGCAATGTGTCGCGCAGCTTGATTATCGCAGTACATTTGCATAGTTCCTATGTGCTCCATCCTCATGTCTCTAAGTAGTTGCTTGATCCAAACGAGCTGACTTGCTGTGGATGCCATGTCACGATATTCTGCTTCTGCACTTGACCTTGCTACAACATTTTGTTTTTTGCTTTTCCAAGTGACCAAGTTTCCACCTACAAAGGTACAGAAGCCTGTGGTGGATTTTCTATCACAGCTCCCGGCCCAATCTGCATCAGAAAAACCAATTACAGTATTAGAATTATTTCTTCGCATCCAAATTCCTTGACCTGGAGTGCCCTTAAGATACCTTAGTATCCTATCAATAGCACTTAGGTGGCTGGTACGCGGAGCATGCATAAATTGACTTACAACACTTACTGCAAATGCAATATCAGGTCTGGTAACCGTAAGATAGATTAGTTTTCCTACCAACCTTTGATATTGTCCTATGTCAGGTAGTAAGTCACCATTTTCTAATCCAAGTTTAACATTGGTTTCCATTGGGGTACCGACTGGTTTAACACCTAGTTTACCAGTCTCTTTTAACAAGTCAATGACATATTTTCTTTGGGATAGGAAAAGACCTTTGCTGGAGTGAGCTATTTCTATTCCAAGAAAATATGAAAGTTTTCCAAGGTCCTTGATATCAAATTCGTCTTTCAAGTATTGTTTGACCTTTTTAATTTCTTCATTATCATTCCCAGTGATGATAATATCGTCAACATAAACAAGAATAATAGTAATGGAATTTTGCAAGTGTTTGACAAACATAGATGAATCAGCGGTGCTTTTGACAAAATCATTTTTCAAAAGAGAAGAGCTTAGTTTGGCATACCATGCTCTAGGGGATTGTTTTAGGCCGTAGATGGATTTTTTTAGCTTACATACTAGCGATGGATCCGAAGTATTAGTATGGCCTGGGGGAAGAGTCATGTAAACTTCTTCTTCCAGAATTCCCTGAAGGAAGGCATTTTTAACGTCCATTTGAAATAGATTCCATCCTAAGTTAGCAGCAACAGATAATAGAATTCTTACGGTGCTCATTTTTGCTACAGGTGCAAAGGTCTCTTGGTAGTCAATGCCGTAGGTTTGGGTAAAACCTTTGGCAACCAACCTAGCCTTATACCTTTCAATGGTACCATCACTGTTGTATTTGATTTTATAGACCCATCTACAACCTACAGGTTTTTTTCCCTTGGGCAAGTGGACAATATCCCACGTGTCATTTTTTTCTAAGGCTTTAAGTTCTTCTTTCATAGCCTTATGCCAGATAGGGTCCTGGGTGGCTTCATTGAAGTTGGTTGGTTCAGTCTGTTTGGATATGTTACCTAAATATGCCCGATATTCAGGAGAAACCTGTTTGTAGGAAATAAAGTTTTGAATAGGATACATCACCTGATGGGGTGCATCACCCTTTTGAATTGGATACATCACCTGATGGGATACGTAGTCCCTTAATCTGGCAGGAGGTCGAGTTTGACGAGTGGATCTTCTCAAGCAAATTTCTTCCTGATTTGGTTCCTCATTTGACTCATCTTCTTCTCCCCCTGAAGACATAGCATCTGTTCCACCAGTCTGTTCGTCTTCCTCATGCTCAACCTGTTCTTGATTCGTTTCTTCAGGAAAAACAAAATTATTTGGTGGTAACATAGTCGGTTGACCTTGTATAGGTTCTTGTTCATGTGGCTGGTAATATGGTTTATTCTCAAAGAAGGAAACATCACGTGAGAAGTAAAGTTTATGATTTTTTGGATCATAACATTTATATCCCTTTTTTTGTGAAGAGTATCCTAAGAAAATAGTTTTCACCGAGTTTTTATCCAGTTTGTCATGTCTCTTTATGTGTACAAAACATATACAGCCGAACACACGTATATGGTCAAGGTCAATTTTTCTACCCTTCAGAATTTCTAAGGGACTCATATTTCTTAACCTCGCACTGGGCAATCTATTTATAAGGTATGTAGCAGTAAGCACAGCGTCTGACCAATAGATTTTTGGAACGTTACTTTGAAAAATGAGAGATCTAGTAACTTCAAGAAGATGACGGTTTTTTCTTTCTGAAACTCCGTTTTGTTCAGGAGTATTAATGCACGTAGTTTGGTGTAAAATACCTTTTAATTTAAAGAATTCTAGAAAATTTCTGTTAACATACTCCGTCCCATTATCGGATCTAAAAATCTTAATTTTTGCATTATATTGGTTTTCAACAAAATTAAAAAATTCTTGGAAACATGAGAAAACTTCATTTTTTCCTTTTAATAGATAAAGCCAAGTAGTACGGGAAAAATCATCAATGAACGTGACAAAATATTTGAAGTTATTATAAGAATCAACGGGCGCAGGCCCCCACACATCGGAATGGATCAAATCGAAACTTTTTTCTGATACATGGGTAGATAAGGAAAAAGGCAGTCTAGTTTGTTTAGCAAGCTTACAAACATCACAATAGCTGGAGTCCAACTTATAACAAAAAAGTTTGTTTAAAACTTGGTCAGACGGATGGCCAAATCTCCAGTGTAGCAACTTGTCATGATCTACCGGGCTGAATGAAATATGACATCTAATTGGATTTTCTTCAAGATAATAAAGACCATTTTTAAAAAATCCCTCACCAATCTTCTTCCCTGATTCTCGATCCTGAAAGGTCACTCTATTAGGTGAGAATATAACATCACAATTTAAATCCTGGGTGACTTTGCTAACAGATAACAGATTTGAATTAAAATCAGGTAAGTATAGAACATTTTCTACATTTTTTGTCAAAAGTTTGGTAGTACCCAAGCCACAAATTTGGACCCTATTTCCATTCGCAACAGTTACATGTTGAAGGTTTTTAAGCTGTGTCACATTCCGAATTTTATTTTTATCCCATGTCATATGGTCAGTGGCACCGGAATCAATAATCCATTTACTATTATTTCCACAAAAATTAGCTACTTTGGGAGGATTTAAAATAGGTTTAGAGAAATCAGAACCTGGAGTTTGTTGTTGTAACAAACTGTTCAGCTGGGTCACTAACTGGGCCAGTTGGGCTGTAGGTGTCACGGACGGTCCAATTCCTTCATTTGAGGATTGTTGAGTAGATTCAGGCCCAATATTTTTGTTTGAGCCCATTTCTTGCCTTTGAATGCCCCAGCCCAAGTTTGGGCCCATTTCCTGCCTTTGAATTCCCCAGCCCATTTGTTCTTTCCCTTTTCCTTCACTCCAGCCCATTTCCTCCCCTTTGCTGGCACCCCCAAATCGTCTCTCCTTCTTCGCGTTTCCCCAGCTTCCTCTCTCGCCCTTGGTACGAGTTGGCCGGAGATGAGGGTGCAGAACCCAGCAACTGTCTTGGTTGTGCCCTGCTCTCTTGCAGTGGTCGCACCAGTCAGAGGTTGGGATCCCCTTCGTTGTCCTGGCCCCGTCCCTAGGGTTAGGGATTGGGTGTTGAGTTTTGAACGCTCTGTTGTTTTCGGAGATTTCTGATTGTTGAGGGTTCATGAGGTTTCTCCTTGACTCTTCTTGCTCGATTGTAGCCACTATATCATCAAAGCTTGGCAGGACAGTTGAGAGGAGAATCTGGGATCGAACGGCCTCGTAGCTTGCATCGAGTGCTCCTAGATAAGTAAAAATCAGGTCGTGTTCGTTCCTTTTTTGAATCTCAACTGTGTCTGTTGTTGGTGGGAGATAGGTGTTAAGTTCTTCCCATTTTGACACTATCTCTGTCACGAGTTGCATATTACTTTGATTGTTCTGTTTGATTTTTGCAATCTCTTGTTTGAGGCTGAAAATGTGGGCAAAATTTTTCTGTTGACCGTATAATTTTTTGGCTTTGTCCCATACTTCCTTTGATGAATTGTAGTACATGAACATGTTGGCAATCTTAGGTTCCATGGTATTTAACAGCCATGACATCACCATGTGATCTGTGGTTTGCCATTCTTCGATCTTTGTGGTTTCTGCCTCTGTAGGATTCTGGGGATCCAATGGTTTGGGTTTCTCTTTGGTCCCAATAACAAATTGTAGTTTCCCTTTGCCACTAAGACCTAGTGTCACTGATCTGGCCCAAGGAATATAATTCCTGTTACCATTAAGAACAATTGCTGTGAGCTTGATGCTATCAGAGTGTTGAGACATTCTTTTGTGTCGAGAAGTAGCTTCTTTGGCTTTGATCCTTACAGGTTTGAAACCTGCTCTGATACCATATTGAATTTAACACTGTAAATATGATGAACAATACTTGTTTATTGTGTGTTCTGATTTACAAATGGATGAATAATGATCCTTATATGAGAAGATAAGTAACGGTAGCCTATGTCCTATGCTAGTGTTGACCTACTGTACAATACAAAAAATAGGTTGAAAGTTGAGTTGGCAGTCAGAATTTTGCTGCTCCTTTTGACCAGAATGGGCCTGTGATGAGTGACCTTTCTGAGGCCCAATGCTCTACTGATTTGATGCCTTCCAAATATAGCCAATGATGAACTTTAAGGGCTGAGGCTATAATTTTAAATTAGTTTCTTCAACAGTTGACTTATGCGACATACACGTGACAGTTTGTTATTTGATATATGAAATAATAAAAAATTATTACATTAATACATCCAATAATAAACTACCACATGTATGTGGCATAGAGCGATTATTGATAGTCTTCACTATGAATATTATTACTCTTATATGATATATTCAATTAAGATATAATTATGGGATTCATTTAATTGTATCTCCTACTTAATGTCACTTAGTACTACTTATACTGTGTTTTAACACTAACATCAATCATCATCATGTTGCTGTTTCTCAGGGATGTTGCTCCTAGAAGATTATTTAAATCAGGAATACCACATTTTAAATGAGCATAACAAATATGAAGTGCAGTAACTACAGGCACAGCATCTGAAAATTTGATATGCCACTCGTACAAAAAGTAAATTACAAAAACAGCCTAGCTCTTTGGTATATTTACCCCAACAATCTTTGCCGGAGTAATGCGTAGTAGATTTCCTGGCTTACCAGGAACAGCACCTTTGATCATAACAACGTTAAGTTCATTGTCAATCTTGACAATCTTCAGCTTCCGAATCTTCCTCTTAGTGCCTCCCATTCTTCCAGGCATTTTCTTGCCTGGGTACACACGTCCAGGAGTTGTGCCAGCACCGATAGACCCAAGTTGTCTATGACTCTTTGACCCGTGAGTCATAGGACCTCTTTTGAAGTGATGTCTCTTGATTCCACCTGGTACCGAATCCAATAAGCTTCGAATTAATTTCCAACTCTATAGACTATAAGAAACAAAACGCATAAAAGACTAAGTACCCTATGTTCATCTGTGTTTATGTATAAGCTACAAAAAGGGATAGAATTACAGGAGCATGCTTACTCGATACTAGGTAACCATCTATTAGCAGTTTCTTAGGAGAAAAATAAATGGTACACTGTTAAGCCTAATTTTAAATCATCGTTCTATCACTGCATACAAATAGGTTAAACTGGCATCAACATAGACCTAGAGATCTGCTATTGATTTCAAGTGTTGCTTTGTTTCAACTCCTTGCGTAGATAGAAACCATAGTGATAACTAATCAAGATCTTTATTACAAATCAATGGCAATCTTGTCCAGTAAATGAATGGATTAACATATTACAAACCAAAGAAAGCCTCATCTACGAAAAAAAGAAAAGAAAAAGACTACACCAACAAGGCATGTGAGCTTTAGACTCTTGCAACCTTACCATTCTGACTGACAAAATGCCAATTTTAGAAGATTTAAACATGTATATAAATTGATACCTTGAAATCCCTTCCCAATGGTGGTACCAGAAACATCAACCAGATCCCCCTCCTTAAACAATTCCTCAACCGCAAGCCTCTGATTGGACTCAAACCCATCAACAGACTGGAGCCTAAATTCCTGCAAGTGGCGCAGCGGGATAATCCCGGACTTCTCCAGATGCCCCATCTCTGGTTTGGTCAGTTTTCTATCCCGGACATTGACACTTTTATTGGCATCCTCTCACATTGTGGTAAGACCCATATGAATTAAAAAAGAAAAAAAAAAAATCCTCCCCCACCTCCCCATTGTGAGGGGGCTGTCCCCAGCATTGTTCTAAACTTTATGCTAAACTGTCAAAATTGTGTGACACTACCAATTACCCACACTTTGGGCATTGGTGGCATTTCCTGTTCAAGAGCTGGTGGGATTTGGTCAAGTACTGCTACATGAAGATAAACTTCAAACCTCTGATTTCTAATGTTCATGATGGAGGATTGAGAAACGAATGTTTTTTCATGAAGGATATACCTGAGTTTGGATCTATTGTTCCGAACTTCTTGTTCCCCTAACACATTTTTGACACCTGACATATCATTTCTTAGCAAATGGGAAGATCTCTACAAATTTTTTGATGCCTCTGCACATTACCCATTTGCTAAGAATAGGTGATGTGCCGAGGTGTAAAAACTGTATTGGGGGTCAGGCAGGACAGCAGAATTAGGCTCAGATACTCCTTTGCTGAAAAGTAGTACTATAATTTGAAAGCCTCGATCATTCCAGAATTTTTTTTTGCAAGCCTCACCAACCTGGTAGCTAGAGACAATCGACAGTACTTTTCAGTATGCCACCACCATACACAAAATTTCAGAGCAGGTGACTAATTCTTCCTAACATGACATACAAGGCTACATTTCAAGCTGCATTGTAACCTTTTCACTTTGCTATTTGAACTAGTTTCTCAGTGATGTTGCTCCTAGAAGATTATTTAAATCAGGAATACCAATTCAATGGATCAATCACATTTTAAATGAGCATAACAAATATGAAGTGTAGTAACTACAGGCACAGCATCTGAAAATTTGATATGCCACTCGTACAAAAAATAAATTACAAAAACAGCCTAGTTCTTTGGTATATTTACCCCAACAATCTTTGCCGGAGTAATGCGTAGTAGATTTCCTGGCTTACCAGGAACAGCACCTTTGATCATAACAACGTTAAGTTCATTGTCAATCTTGACAATCTTCAGCTTCCGAATCTTCCTCTTAGTGCCTCCCATTCTTCCAGGCATTTTCTTACCCGGGTACACACGTCCAGGAGTTGTGCCAGCACCGATAGACCCAAGTTGTCTATGACTCTTTGACCCGTGAGTCATAGGACCTCTTTTGAAGTGATGTCTCTTGATTCCACCTGGTACCGAATCCAATAAGCTTCGAATTAATTTCCAACTCTATAGACTATAAGAAACAAAACGCATAAAAGATTAAGTACCCTATGTTCATCTGTGTTTATGTATAAGCTACAAAAAGGGATAGAATTACAGGAGCATCCTTACTCAATACTAGGCAACCATCTATTAGCAGTTTCTTAGGAGAAAAATAAATGGTAGACACTGTTAAGCCTAATTTTAAATCATCGTTCTATCACTGCATACAAATAGGTTAAACTGGCATCAACGGAGACCTAGAGGTCTGCTATTGATTTCAAGTTTTTCTTCGTTCCAACTCCTTGCGTAGTTAAAAACCATAGTGATACCTAATCAAGATTTTTAATACAAATCAATGGCAATCTTGTCCAGTAAATGAATGGATTAACATATTACAAACCAAAGAAAGCCTCATCTACGAAAAAAAGAAAAGAAAAAGACTACACCAACAAGGCATGTGAGCTTTAGACTCTTGCAACCTTACCATACTGATTGACAAAATGCCAATTTTAGAAGATTTAAACATATATATAAATTGATACCTTGAAATCCCTTCCCAATGGTGGTACCAGAAACATCAACCAGATCCCCCTCCTTAAACAATTCCTCAACCGCAAGCCTCTGATTGGACTCAAACCCATCAACAGACTGGAGCCTAAATTCCTGCAAGTGGCGCAGCGGGATAATCCCGGACTTCTCCAGATGCCCCATCTCTGGTTTGGTCAGTTTTCTATCCCGGACTCTCCTATACCCAACCTGAACCGAATTATAACCATCAGTGAGCTCGGTCTTGACCTGAGTAACAATGTTGCCCTCCCGGAATCCGACTACGGTTACCGGGACTACAGTCCCGGAATCTTCAAAGAATGACATCATGCCTAGCTTTGTGCCCATTACACCAATTCCAGCTTCCATTGATGCAGAGATGAGTGGGGTTTGCTTTGAAGTGTTGGCAGAAAGGGAGAGGTTGGAGAGGCGCTTAATGGGGAGGCGGAGGAGGAGGGAGGAGCGGAAGGAGGAGGAAGAGGCATTGGTGGCGGAGGCCGTGGGGATTGTTGGGGAGAGGGAAGAAATTGACATGGTTTGCTGAGAAAGTTGGATGATAGGGAAAACGGAGAGGGAGGGAGAAGGCTCTCTTATCCACTGCTGTACAGTTGGAGCTGGGATCCGTTGCGGTCGGGTGTATGGACCTCTACATAATAAGAAGATATCCAAGTGACTCCTATTTTTAGTTTTTATTAAAATATATTTTATAAAAAATTAAAGAGTAATTTTTTTTAAAAATATTTGTCTCTTTATTTTTAATAGTTATATTCCTATCTGTTATATCCACCAACTTCCTTTGAAATTATTATATTATTTTTCGCCATTTTTTTGTATATACTATTTACTTGAGTTAATATATGAAACATAGAATTTGAAATATTTTAAATGCATTTAATTGTAAAGAGTGAATTTCAATTATCTACTTGAATGAAACTCATACTCAGCGACCAGCATGCGCTCACCACCACTAGTGATATCCCTTGAAAGTTTATAATTTTATTTTATTTTTTATAGAGAAATAAATCAACGACAAAGTACAGTGACTCTCCAATACACCAGCATTACAATGAATAGCATTTTTAATTTAGCAAGTGCTCAAGCTACTTCATTTGCTTCAGTCGTGTAAATGAACAAATAAACTCGATATGTGGTTCATCGAGGATGATATTCGCAACAGGGATGCCTTTCTTGTTGCACGGATTTTTATTTTTTCCCTCTTTGTTCTTTTCAGTAAACAGTAAAGAATTGATCTCTAACTTCTTCTAACCAAAAGAAAATTTCAGAAAATCCATTATTCGATTTATTGTAATTAACACATAATTTTGGCAATCGCAATAAATTATTTCATGTAATGAAGCAACATACATACTGTAATCTAGTAGAATATGAGAGCTTCACTATTTTCAATCAATCATCAGTTATAGAAAGCATACAGCTTAACCAACAAATTTGCTAATCCAATACTCATCAGGCATTGATCTGTCTTCTGCTCAGTAGGAGAAGATTAAATTAACAAGGCCAATAATTTATTTCTTCTAATTCTAACTGGTATTTTTCTCTTTTGCTTTTTGAAGGCTGAGAATCCTTTATATATAACCTGATTATCTAGAAAAAAAATGCAGAACAAAATTTAATACAACAAACTCCCTTATGCGTCAATTCATAAAGATCCTCCTCCAATGTCTCCTTGGCTTGTAATAATCTGAAATGTATAAATTTCATTGAAGTTTAAACTATTAAATGCCGTAAACCATAAAATTGTTGGATCATGCTACTTGTACATTTTTTTTTACACTAAGTTTGACATTATGTCACATGTCGCATCATGATTAGCTAGTTTTTAAACATTACACACTTTCCCGCCAACAAAACTTTGAATTTCCAAAGCATGTCAAACTTCATGTCAACAAAAGAATGTACAAATGGCTTAATCCAAAATTGCTAGCCATGGTCTAGTTTCTGATTTCATACCTTATTTTCAACTACCGAGTCATCAGGAATTACTATTTTCATTCCTGGTCTTGCTTGTATAACAACCTTTCCCTGAAAACAGTACACCAACATAAGAAAAAAGCATCAGAATGTCTACTTTTTATGCTAGGACCCTGAGCTGAAAGTAAAATTGCTCTGGTTTCATGGTAAGCACATAAAATAGTCTTCCAATCTCTATATCATCTTTTCCTGTGGGAGGCAAGGCTAGATTGGC